ACTTTGAAGCAGATAAAGGAAATCCAAGTTAAACCTCATTCTTGGAGCTTGCATATTCTTTTGATATTGTTTTACAGTCAACACTAGATCTGCCTTATTTATAGAGTTATTAGAAATCTACAATATTTACAAAGTCTACTTAGTACTAGTGGTAGCTTTATTCTAAAGAGGGCGTTTACAAATAGTACAGAATTTTCAACGTGTTTTATTGTAAGGTATGTACTCCTATGTGCAACATCTTGAAGTGATGTAATTATCAAGAATGAAACATTTGAAGAAATACTGTCGCATCCGAAATTTGCTGTAGTACTTCGCAACGTTTTGCCTACATTTCCTTCAAAAATACATAGTCGTAAATTGAAACCTACGTAAAAATATACGTGAGATGAGATTACCATTAATGGATGATTAAAATAATCTGAAATGCAGTAGATGTAGAGAAGATTCGTAATTCAGAGGGATAATTTTGACTTAATAGTGTTCTCTCAGCGTCGGTGGCACAGCGGTAGAATGCTCGCCAACCACGCAGGTAGGTCGGGGTCCGATCCGCGGCCGACGCACTCCTTTACCTCGCTAATCCAGTAATAAGACTGTTAAAGAGGGAAGGTTGGGCATGAGGCTAACAACCCCATCTCGTAAAAATAATCACCACTGCTACCGAAACTTCAAAGCTCTAGCTTGAAATCCTCCTATGTTCCACTGGGAATGTAAAGCAATAAAAATGAAAGTGTTCTCTGAGCTGGTTGATTTAATTGAGAAGCTTTCTTAGTCTTATTCGGCAACATCTTCAACGCAAGTTTTAGTATGAAGTGAACCTGCTTGAATTATCCATGAATGATATAACTGTATCACTGATTCATCGATAAGCAAACAGTAATTTGTACCAAATTTACTAATTAATAAGAAATAAATCACATAATAAGAAAGTTCAAAATTCAAGTCAATAAACCTGATCACTAGAAGTGTAAATTAACAACCATTCACATCAATGGTTGTCAGGAGAATTTGAATAGACGTTGTCTAGAAGGTGGACAACGAAAGCTTCGTAATTAAACCAACCAGTTCAAAGAAAACAACGAAATCAAAATGCAACAAATATATAATTCCATTTGAAATTATAGGATTTATGGAGACTTTCTGGCAAAGTCAGAATTCACGGGTCAACGAATTACGACTCAAATGGTTAAGTGGTCAGATAACCTGATCTCGTAACCTGGAAGTTCATGGTTGGATCGCTGACTGCATCATGGGTGGGTGCTGATGAAGAGTCCCATAATAGGACGAAACAGTCGTTCAGTGCTCTCTGGTATTCAGTGATCCATCCGACTGATATTGGTTAGTTGCGAAAACCTGTCAACTGAAATAATTCAATTTGATGGGTAGGGGAATTTAGGAAGCCCAGTGATTTGGGTGGACCGCCATTGTCTTCACTTTAAAAGGTTTAAAATTACAGCAAATATCACTGGTTTCTCTTTCACTAAGAATATTTATTTCTGCCTTTAGAAGCTGACAGACACATAGAAGGATAGATAATTCACTGTGCATCATTTCTTTCGCATTGATTTTTCTTTTCACAATCATTTGATTCCCCATCGATTAGCTATGTCAGTAGTACAAGTAGTATTAACAGTAACACTAGCAGTTACAATAAATAAACGAAATGTTTATACCATGATATTATTGTGTAGACATTTTTGGTCTTCTGATTCAATAAAGTTTTCTTTTTTTCTTGTCTAAATCAAAAAATGGTTCAATAATCTAATACCGTAAAAAATAAACACAAATCCAGTCAGTTAAAACTTCAATTTTTCCCCTGATATTAGACAGAAAAAATAATACATAGCTATTGCAGATTTTTTGCTGTATTATTGTAAACTAGATTTATGCTGTTGATTTATAGGAAAAGAAGAAGAAAGTGTGAAACAAAACGGTTTGTAATTGTTATGACAGATTGATATATTGGCTAAATGGCAGGTAGAATTAAAGGTATACAGACTGACTATTTCCTTTATTTTTTTCTTTGGAATTTGCATGATTCACACTGTTTATCTAATAAACTTAATAGAATTTCTTACATTAGATATCATTAGATGGACAATCCTGAAATGTACAGTTGGTCATTCAGAGGTCAGCACTAAGGGTAGTAGTATTTAGCTGATTTTGTTATGGGATATTTTCTAAGACTAAAATTTAACACTCCCTTGAAGTTTATTCACAAGGATGTGTTATGAATGATGGCTATTCTGCTAATGCACCTGAAAAATTCCGTGTCTACATAGCAGTACTGTGAACCATTAACTTTTACAGGTTTGTGATAATATGGCTAGATTATAAAATACCAATTACAAGTTAGTAGTTGAGGTATAATATGAAGTATCATTTCAGGTAGATAAGGACTCAAGTTAATATGATAACTTGAGTTCAAGTATGATCGATAAGTATCGGAAATTGTAAAGTATTCTTCTGTATGTTGACTAGTCTTAGATAGACTCTGAGTCGGATCTAAAATTGAAGCTGTAGAAAATGAGTCACTATAAATGCGGATAAACATGGCAGTATCAGAGATTGTAATATATAGGTCGAAGATTTGAGGCTTAGTAAGACCGTTGTGGTGGTGTGATGCAGACAGTGTGTTCCAACGGAATATTATTCTCACATATTCCCATAGTTCAATACAGCATTAGCAACAGATTACCATATATCTATTTGAACATTCTATTTCATTTCGTTTAATGTAAGCCGAAATCCTTTGCTCATTGACTGGTTAACGGATATAAGCTGTGGATATATAAACAGTGGTTTGATAATTGAAAAAATATAACTTGGCTTCCGTGTCTTGCCTTCTGTTGTTACAGCCGCTATCCAGCTACCTCTGGTTTCTAATGGTTTAAATGGAAATGTTGGTTGGCAAATAAACATCTATTTTAAAAATCAAATCTAGATATAAGTGGAATCACGACAAACTTTATAATATTACCAGCTAATTTTGATACCTATAGCATGGTGCTGAGGCACTTTATTTCTTCGCATTTAGACCTACAGAGTAAACATATGCAACAAAACCAATGTCATATATTCACACAGTGAGCTTTACCCTTTTTTTCAAACTGTGTGACAGTAATAACCATAAAGGATTATGTAACACAACCATACATGTGTGATTGTATTTGTCGAGGAAAATGCTTATGGTAGGTTAAGTGTTAAAACTTTGGAATCTGAAGCAGCCTTCAAATCCATAGTCTACTGAAAGAAACCAAGTTTATCTAATGATTCATCCACCTGTCGAACTCCAAGTGGTCCTGTCGCCTTCGTTGCATAAACTAAACCATAGATGATTGCTTGCTTTGGGAGCTGGTGCCTTTCAGTCTCATTTAGGAAACCAAAAAGTTCATTTTTGTAATACATTTTAATAATGTTATATTGAGATTAGTCTTTGGCCTAACAGAATCGCCTATTAAACTTTTGCAGGGTAAATAGTACATGTAATTCAATATAGTGAGCTAATTAGAAATCTTAATTTAAATTAAATAAGCTATCACAACTAGGCGATAATTTTGGCCTTCCTTTTGAAGACTTATCTTATTGACGTTCAAATGTCAGCAATGAGCTAGTAATACTCACTTGGTCTTCTTGCCTAATACATCATGCTCACTTCTATTTTTCTCGTGTAAGCAATAAAGGCCTTAACGGATTGATGGGTCAATAAAAAGTTAAGACAATCAGGTATCAACAAACCTTTAGTTCTGCAATTTTTAAACTCCTGTATTTTACCTATTGTACTCTATTGCTCTCCATTAATATTTCCTGGGCTTCGCAAAAACGACCATATCATTTAACTAAGGGTATTAAATGCTGTGAGTAGGGCTTGTGGTTTGCCACTGCGTGAGCTCTCCAATACTATAGTCGAGAGACACATAAATTCCTGTACAAAATGGGCAAAGGCCGTACTGTGAGACCCTCTGCGCCCCTTTATTCACAACTATCCCCTTGTATCTCATCGGGTAGGACGAGAAGTCAATATATGAAGTTATATGCTCGAACCACTAAGTACAAAAATTCTACAATACCGTATTTAGCCCGTATTTTATGTGATGAAGACTCTGTTAGACGTGAAACATATAAGAAGTTACTATGTAATTAGCAAAGTGAATCAACCCTTTCATTGTTCATCTTTCTGTAATCTTATGGTGTCACCCTTTCTATCGTCTAATTATAACTTTGCTATTTTTATTTTAATTGTTATTACTATTATTACTATAATTTTATACTTTATGCATATTTTTCTCTTTATTGCATACAGTAATTTGCTAAATAGCTGCTATAACAATGTTTTGTTATTATTATGTAATATTTATTTTTTATTTTTTTTTGTCGTTTTTGATTAAATTAGATGCAATATTGTAGTGAATGCTGAAAATTCCTTGCTGTATCATTAGTACTGCTTTGGAATAAAGCAAAAATTATTATTATTATTATTATTATACAACTTAACCAGTGTCACATGTTTAGGACTTAGTGCTAAGTGAATTATCTAAGTCAAATTTATAACATCTCTGACTTCAACAATAGGTGACACAGGTATTCATCATTGAGGTGGTATGATTTCTTTTGTGGTTGTGGATATTCTTTTGTTTATGGATTTTAGTAGACATGAAATCTAAGTTCAAAACTTCCTACTACCCAGTATCAATTAGTGATGTTGTTACTTAGTGGTTTCATTACTTATCCACTCTTATTGTTAAAAGCGTTTTTGAGTGATTACGATGCATACCGTAAAGTGATTCGTAATTGTAGTCTATCTAACAATCCACGACATGCCTCTTCCCTTTAAAGTGGCAAATAGTACAGATAGTAAATGTATTGTTTTCTTCGTTTAAGTGAGGTAGCCTCATTTTACTATTTGTAAAAGAAGCCAGCAAATTTACAATGGTTTTAATAACAGTTTGTTTATAAACTGATATTTGCATCAATGTATTAATGTTTGTGTATGTTTTGTGCAGATATATACATCTGGTAGTCGTCCTGGTCCAGTGACAATTCCTGCTCGAAGCAGAAGTGCACAGCCTAGTCCTGGGCCAAGTCCAACTATAAGCCCTGTGACATGTTTTCGAGCTTCTGAAAATAATCTGGTACAAGGTACTAATGGAGAGAAAAACTCTTATGTAGCAAAATCTCAGAAAATCAACTTAAATGTTACAAATGCTCAACGACGCGGTTCATCACCGTCTCGAGTGGAACACAATAATGTGAATTCATTTACATCTGATGGTCCTGAGGTAATTCTACGCTTTGTTAAACTTTATATTAATTATATGCCTTGTTTTGAATGATTTAGGTATGTATGAAATAGCTTTAATTTTGAAATTTTAGCAAATGTCATTAGTGAAATGAAAGCAGAAATTGTTGCTCGCAAAGTACGTGTATTATAATATAACTCATGTAAACTGAAAATGTGTTCCACATGAAATGCAGAAAATCTGATTCATTTGATGGTTTTCATAGGAGACTGATTCATTCGGAAACAGTTTATATCACGAAATGAAAGCTAACAAGCGTTTAAAGGACTACTTTATTCTCATCTCCGCTTATTTAGCACTGAGAATACAACAACTCATGCACTAGTGAGTTTGTGACTGTTGGCTATCTTGGAGGGACGCAACAGGAAGGAAATTGTGTGTCAGAGTACATTATAAGCTCACTTGTTAGTATCATCTTCACCGCCTTTGTTTCGATGTCATATTTCATTTCATTTTGCGATATTGAAACCTCGGCTTTCAAAGACACTGGGAAGTGTGGTTTTAAGGTGGTTGGACAAATTTACAGCTCAAGTGGATACTTTTGGTGTTAATGTGTTTTCTGAGTGGTCTCATTCAATCGGTGATAATTCTGCCCTGAAGTGGTACTTTTTACCGACAAACACTTCAAACTACAACATGCATTCATCACTACTTATTTCCTACTTTACCATTGTTACGGATGTATTTTACGTGTTGTACTCTAAGTACTTCTACAACGGCGAAAACATGCTTCCATTGGGGCTGTATCAATTTAAATGGTAAAATAGTGGTGTTAAAAATCTACCATTCAACGAAAACAAGTGTCACAGATCAAATCAGTCCACGTAGTGAGCTAAAATGGCCTTCTAAATTGGTGTTAGATGGTTTGAGGCAGTTAGCCAGACTCTATGAATCTAGATTTTGTGCTTATTGGTACTTGTCAGAAAGGCATGTCTGCAACATTAAGGGAACTGATTTCCCTTCTGAGATTCGAACTGCCTTAAAGCAGTGCCACAGTCACAGATTTTATCACTGAGTTATTCAGGTTTACGACTGATATCTTGTGGGTCTGTAATGGATAAATTGGTCGGTCACTAGGGAGTATCCAGAGTCATACGTCTAGTCTTTCGTGTTAGTGCAGGCTGAATTCTATCGACGAAGTCTACAGTTAGATATATATGTGAAAGTAGAAACGTTTGTGAATTTCCACGTATACTTTGAAATCTACAGAGCATTCATGAAGCATCTACTCGATTTCATTGAGAAAGATAGAAATGTGAATTAAAATATGAACATGTTAGTTCGTATATCAACTTTATTCAGCATATACATGAATAATCAAACTGTGTAACATGTGCTGAACCATAATCCCGTCACTTGGGTGTTGAAGACAATTACCTCTTAAGCCTAATCAGTGTACATCAGTGCAGTGAAGCTAGAATGTTTTGGATTATATTGTTGAATATCTTAATTTTAGACTAAGTATGTCATCATGACTATCACTTGTGTTACTCTCCCTCTCTCTCTCATCTGCACACACTATACAAAATATAGGAAGATGGCGAGTCTCATATTTTACCTTCAGTCAGGGAAATCATTCGTCAGGTTGAAGCTATGACACAATCGAATGCAGCCACATCGACAACAGATATTTTCACTCTTGGTCTTAATAATGGATTGGGTGGAAATCCCTCAGTTCAAAAACAAAATGGTCAACCTACTCAGGTTTCACAACCACGTAAACCTACTGCAAACAATGACAGTCAATTTACGCGGGGTAGTATTCTTAGACAAGGAGGCAGTAGTCAAAGGACGCCTAGTGCACCACAGCTAAGAAATGCCAGCTATGGTAGTAATTCTCAACAATATACACCTATTCAAGCAAAATTCAATGCAGCTGTATCTACTACTCAGCAGAAACCTGTCGCTCCTCCTGTTCCACCGCATGGAATTGCACGTAACAAGGTTGGTTAAATGATATCACTTTACTACATTAATACTGATATCTATATGACTTCATTCATTGTGCGTGAATCACAATTATTGCTTCTTACACACACTACGATTTAGTAATCAGTGATTGCGTTCAGGATATATATCATCATTATAATGGGAAGGCAGAAACCATTACTGACTCTTAGAACTGTAGGTTTATATTAGTCTTGAAATGAGAATATTTTTCTTTACCTTTGTGTAAATCATGGTATGCTATTCACAATAATAACGAAAAAAGTAATAACCTCGTGAGTTAATTTAAGTTGAACATAAGTAATAAACTACATTCTGGAAACTATTACACAACTGCAAAACAAATTAACAATGCTTGTTATCTGGGAAGACCGGCTAAATTCCAGTGTATAAGGGATAAAAGTGTGTTATTTTAAATGTACAATTTGTCACTTTTGTAGTAACAACGAAGTTGTACAAATTAAATGAACGTAATATACCAGCAAAAGTTACTTTTGTTAACATCGGAATGATTCGGCGAACAGTTTACGACATAATTATGCACAGAGAATAACCGCTAGTTTGCTATGACTTAGTGGTTAGTTAGGATAATTGGTTGTAATGTAGTTCAAATGATGGGAAAAAAGTTTAATTAAGACATATAAACTTTTCCTTTTGGTTTTTTTCCAATAAATATCTCTGTCCAAATATGAAACAGCCATCAACTAACACATTCGTTGCTTGTTTGAAGAAGCGAACTTTGAATGTTAATGGCACATATCCTAAATAACTGCCGCTACAAGAATAACAGTTAGTAATGCTCCTAATACTCGAAACGATTACAGAGATAATAGGTTTCCAGGCCGTAGGTGTTACGAACTTCCTGAAATAATTTGAGCGCCGATAAATCTGCTGAAGAAGCTGTGGCTTACACAGCGAAACGTTCAGAAAAATCTTGTTTTGATTTCCTTAACACGCTGGGATTAATTTAAATAATTTATAATGGATTACAGAGATATTTATCGATTGTAACTATTTCCTGAAGAATACTGAATCTAACTTTTACTAAATCTTATTAGGAAGAGAAGTTTTAAAACTGTATCTACTTCAATCACCTGAAATCTTTATTTAGTCGGAACATGGAAACTATTTAGTCTTTACCCCGCTTAGATTTCCAATTTCGCACTCTGTGTTATGGGGTTTGATGACATATAATTAACTCTAAATTTACTAAGAATTCAAATATGTCTTCAGGTGATCTATAATCTTAGGCATGCTTCTTATCTTTGTCCAAGAAGGGGGTTCTTCTTATCATAAATTTTATCTGCTCACTCAAGGACCATTCATATTTAGTACTGTACAAAGTTATCTTCACAGTTTAGTGGGATTTGGATTGATTTCAATGTAGGTTTCATTACATCTGGCATTAAGTGAATTTCAACCGAGTAGCTAAATGACAGACCGCGTTACCTGAAGGTTCTTGGTTCTACTCCATGTGAGATCATGGATGCTCACTGTTTTAGAGACCCAAAATGGGACAAAATAGTTGCCAAGTGCTCATCTGATTTTCAGTGATTCTCAAAGTAATGTTGGTTCGTGGAAAAATCTGCGCTGCAAAATTATTCCATCTGTTAGAGTAATTGTTTAATTATTGAGGGTAATTAATTTTCCCCCTGAATTGAATGCGGATTCAGTCTTTAACAACGTGTATTTCTCCTGCAGTTAGGTTCAAATACAAAGTTTTTAACTATCCTCCTGTTGTCTTTGAGTTTCAGCCTCATTTTGAATAACAAATATATAAAGTAATTGGTTGCTATTTGCCGGTGGTTTAGGTTAAGGTAATCCGTTTGTCTGAACATACTGTCCAAGGAAACCTTTCATATATACGTAAACTTTGTACAGTCAATTAGAATGCATGTCCTTCAGGACTATTTGTAGTCTTTAAGTGATGTATTTCTTTCGACGTTATTGAGACGTTCCATCGACTCTTACTATGTCTGTACCCCGTGTTTAATAGTTAACTCTTGGATGTTGTCTGAAGCGGTCAGTAAAAATAATTCCCTAAATTATGAGAAATGATCCATGTTTTCTTAATCCATGAGTTCCGAATGCTTTAGGCTTAGCACCTTGAAATTTCATTAGGCGTGATGTTGTTTCATGGGAATAGGTTATTAGCCTCACGCCCAACATTCCCTCTTTTCCGTGATTACTATTGGATGGTGAATTAATCACGGCTTAGAAATGCATCTACCAGAAATCGAAGCCTAGACGCCGCAGTGTTTGGTGGTGTTTTCTTCATACCCTATAAATTCTCCATGAAATTGTATTCAAACATGTATGTGGTCCTGGGTTCGATCCCCCACCGACGCACTCTTTTACCTCGCTAAGCCAGTAATAAGACTCATAAAGAGGGAAGGTTGGGTATGAGGCTTGCAACGCCATCCCGTAAAAATAAACATCACTGCTACCGAAACTTCAGAGGTCTAGCTTGAAGCCCTATGTTCCATTGGGAACGTAAAGGAATAAAAAAATTTCTTTGGTAAAGCAGAATGTGGGCGAAATACCATCAGTTGAAGTGACAAATCAGTTATGAGTCAGATTGTTTATGACGAAAGCCTACTAGACACTGACTGATAAACAAAAAACAAAAGGCTAATGTAAACAAAAATCACTTCTTTGTAACCGGCTATCTGATAAACTTATCACTTTTTGATAAATGATTTCATGGAAAATAAACAAACGATAATTTCACCTCTAATGACAACATTTACTTTACTATTTATTCGTGTATGAACGTCTTTTTGTAGCAAAATAACTCTGTATAAATGAAATGAAAAGAGTTTCTACGTAAACGACTAAGTTCACTTTTGTAGCTAATATTTTTTAATACTTCTTTGTGTATTACTACTTTTGTCACAATGATTCCTGAAATCGCATAGTAATCGAATGGAAGCACAACTAATGCCTCACTACCTACACTTCTGTATTTGTTTATTTGAAATCAGTTTACTGTGACTAATTTTTCACGTGACGACCCATGATACTATTTAGGGGCCCGAGATGAAGTAGGTATGAACGACGAACAAAACCTGTGTCTTTTGGTCTGAATACAGGGAACCAATCAATGTGTTCGTCTGCATAGCTGACCAAAATTTTGTGAGTGATTCATAGTTCCCAAAATGTCCTAACTGTGATTAAAAGGCAGTCATACACGACAACGTCTAAGGTTATATTAAGTAATAATATGTTCGAGACTCAAAATTACCTCAAGAACGCAATTAGGAAGCTAAACACTCCAGGGATTTCTCATGTACAAAATAAGTACTGGACAACAAAATTAGTTAACCAAAAAACAACCCCAAGAAACACCTGAGAATCAGGCGGAATATTGCCAACAAGAAAGGATCAAAACTCTTCCGGCAAGAATCAAGTGTAACAACAGAAGACAAGGGTCAGGCAACAGATCGTTTATTACGGAAAATCAACACATATCTACAGATTTTAATGTACATTATTGTAGATTATTGTTAGTAGAAAATACAGTCTTTTGATTAGTTGCTTCTCATAGAAAGTTAACCTTGCATCTCTTTGTGGCTGTGTCAGATTATCCATATGCTAACTGTACCCGCCTACGCAAAGCCTTTCTTCTCATTTTCTCACCACCGATATTGGGGACATAAACATTGACGTCAATTACTGTCTACCAACTTTGGCTAGCAGCCAGCTCTCACCACACAAGTACACCAAACACATTTCCCACTGTCAATTCAAGATTAAATGGTACGTACGGCATAACTTTGAATTTTATTCAAAGAAAATCGCGGCGGTGAAACAACATATCATTATCAACAGTCCACCATCACCCAATATGGAATTCGGGCATTAACAATAGGAACCAACTACAAAAACGACTAGTAATCAGGACTAAATCAAAAGAGGATATGTACACGGTGGAATGATAATACACAGGTCAAGGAGATCAAGGGTAATAATTTCACAATTAGGTGAAATATTCAAATAAGCATCAATATTGTAAACAGATTTTCCAGAAGGGATTTTTCTTTAATAAAGGGAACAGGTCTCCAAACCGGGGTATTTAAGCCAGTTGCCTTACATCTGTGACAAACAGATTGAAATTTGTGTTTTTGTTTTACTCTGGTCACAAATTAACCGCAAAACATAATGCATCACGTGTATCTAATAAAACAATCGAAATAGCTATTTTATCATGAAGGTATCTACCTGAATGCAAATCAAGAAAATTAACGCATAAGTGAAGTTCCAAACATGTATCATCACACTTTTTCGTCAATGAATCAAATTAAGGAATTAATTTAAAGTTCGCATTTACTATTGGTCAATTTTTCAAATAGATAATAGATTCCACAATCTGCTTAGTGCGTGTGTAAAAGAGAATTTATGTCTTTCAGGTCTACCTAATGAATCACTGAAACTTTAGAAAAAAACTCTAACGAGTGATAGGCTTTTTCTCTGGGAAAGAAAAAATGAATGTGGTGCACTGTTGCACACATCTCGTCGATAGATATTCGTACAATTTAAGCAAATGAGTGTCATAAATACACTGAACATATGTTTGGATGATACTAACTGATGTTTTTGGAATCTACGGTTGTTTGTTTTTAATATGAAGGAGTGAAGATATCACTCTACTGTCGCCGGCATAAGATCTGATCTCTCTGAATGAATGAATGAATTCATTTCGAATAACTGAAATTTTAACACACATGATGTAATGTACCTTTTAGCTAACCAGAAACACCCATACTTATTTTAATTAGATTATGGCTAGCTTAAAACAACTTAGCTAAGGAGTTAGTATTGAAGACAACACAGTTTATGTAGACAGAAGTAATTTTTATCAAGACAGATCACAGTGGATATTAACAAATGACAAACTATGGAATTCTGTAATAGGCATGTTTTATCCTTCATTGTTTGTGGATTATTAGATTCTACCCCGGAACAAAAACGATTTTCCCATATTTCCTCCATAGAGG